TATATATATAAAGACACTATCTTAAAAGTTTTGATATGGCACCACAAAATCCTCAATGGTGGGAGTAGGAAGGAGTCAGTTCTATCTTCCCATGATGGGGTTCCTGCCACTGTGTTCCCTGATGGGTGAGCTGGTGTGATGAAGAACATCAGCTAATAAGCCTTGTAAATTTTCAGCAGAAATGAGTCTGAAACCCAACCACAAGCCAGGGAATGAGACCTAAATCACAAGTTCAGTGATTCCTAAGCTCTGCATCTCAGTACCTGAGTTTGAAACGAGTCTGTTCTTTGCTTCAGGGTTCTTACCACAGATGAAATGAGTTATTTGTTATTCATATACTTAGTTCCTATGCCCCCTGCTAACATGTTAACTCCATGAGGGCAGAAATGGTGTTCCTCCACACTGAGCATAATACCTGGCACAGAGTGAGTAGCAGATAATGTTTCTTGAATGAGTGAAAGAATGAAATTTTCTGTTCCACTCCACACAAATAACTTGACCTCTCTGACCCCAACCAGCCATTCTTGAAAGTGGTAACTACCTCCCTAGATGAAAGACACAAAAAGTGGTTTAGAGCACTTATCAGGAGGATTCACATGGCTGACAATATCTGTAGATCTTCTAATTTACTCAAGGTTTATTAGTTCTCCATGGTCTTTCACTTCCATTTTTTCATTTGGTCTTCACAAAAATCCATGAGGCAAGAAGAGCAAGAATTATTTTCATTTCACAGTTGGGAAAACAGTCAATCCAAAGTCTCCTGTCTTCGGGAACCCTGATTCCAGAGTCCTAGTGTTAAAGACTACTCAGTCCCCCATATACCCCCAGATTCTTCCTTTGAGCAGTTCCAGATCCAACAGTCTTTGCAGTGGGCTCCATCCATGTAGAGATTAAAGGGCCTCTCTCACTCTGCTCTTGCCACAGGTCTCTAAGGGTTGCTTGGCAACCAAAACCCAGCAATAAGTGGCCTCTGGTCAGGTCTGTTGCTGTGGAGTTACCGAGTCCCCCTCCCTTCACACCTGTGCATGTTCTCACTCCTTATTATTGAGACTTTTCCCCAGTCCCCTCCTCCCCTGTAAGGTTTTCTTCTCTGATTCATAATAATTAACCTCTCAGGAAACAGAGGGGGCTCTCAGGGACCTATGCGGCAAGGGACCCTCAGGGAACAAAAACACTATAATGCCCTCGCTGCCCCATATCCCCAGAGATGATAGAACTCCTTTTGTGAATGGTCCTGCTCAGCAATGCTCATCACCTCTTCATCTCCCCTCTCCACTTTCCATCCTGAAAATGGCTTTCTGAAGGGCTCAGAAAGAAACTGAATGGACTGGAAAAATTAAAGCCACACCTCCAACAGTGCTAGTGAATTTCTGGTTGCTGTTCCAGTGCTCCTGGAGCCACAAGTGGGAAGCCTTGGGAGGGGACCCATTCACCTTTTGCTTGTGGCTCAAGAACAGAAAAAGAAAGGAAACTAACATTGATTGCATTCCTTATACGTACCGGGTATCATACTATGTTGTTAGGTGTAGCCCCTTTAGAGTTGAGGGTATTATCTATTCATCACAGAAGTGAAATGACTTACTAAATCTCATACAGCTTAAAAAAAAAAAATCAAAAGTCCCAAAATTTGTATTGAAGCCCTAACCTCCCTCCCCCACATTCCAGTGTGTCTATATTTGGAGATGGGAACCCTAAGAAAGTAGTTAAGATTAAATAAGGGTATAAGGGTGGGGTGCTGATCCAGTAGGATTATAAAAAGAAATTCCAGAGGACTTGCTTGCTTTTCTACAAATATACACACCAAGGGAAGACCCTAGAGCAAACAGTGAAAAGGCAACTGTCTGCATCCCAACAGGGAGCTCTCACCAAGCAGCAACACTTGATATTCAACTGCCTATCCCCAGAACTGCAAGAATAAATTTAATTTATTTTGTTTAAGCCATACAGTCCATACTATTGTGTTATGGTAGCTTGACAAGATTAATACACTTAGTTTAGGTCCTTATTACTTTTTCTAACCACCTCGTTTTTGGTCTTACTTCCATCTACCTTCCAAACAAAACGAGAGGTTTTTCTAGAATGCAGATATGACCTGTTAAGCACTTTTAGGCTCCTCAGTGCCGTCAGTGCCTGTGATGAAGGTCTCCAAATTTATACCAATTTATAACCAGTAAGTAAGAAAAATGAAGGCGCAGTACCCACAATATTTGTATAGTTATTTAGATTTTATGCATGTACGTATGTATGTACATATGTGTTTATGTATGCTCTGTAAATATTAAAACACATGGATATTAAAACACATAAAAATGAAATACATTTAAATTTACAAAATCAGAAAATTATTTTTGCTACAGAAAAGCACATGCAACCTTTTTGCAAATTATTTTTAAGCCAAAGCAATGTGATTAACCATGTCATATCTAATTAGATCATCACTGATTTGCCTTGAAATACGCTGACAATGAACTTATGCTGGGAGTCAGAAAAGCATCAGTTCAGCCATTTTCTATCTTCACTATAATCAGTACTGTCTTCAATCAGAGGTTTCAGTCACAGATTTCTTTGTAAGACTCTTATAGGGTTCATTTAGTTAAAAGTAGGTAGGATAATCAATAAGATTATCCTTTCCACTTAAGAGGAAGACTGCAAAAGCCCTTGTCACAGGCTGAAAATGAAAGAGTTCCAGACACCATCACTGCCAATCCCTAACAAGGGCAGAACAGTCCCCTCCTATCTGAAATTTTTTTCATGTGAAGTATATGTGACCATCTGATGCAGAGATCAAATAAAGACATCTCTGTCAATCCATATTGTAAAAATGTACTTTATATTCACAGATAAAAATAAACTCTATTAATAGTTTCTTCAACTCCCTAAGGAGTCACCAGGCACATACCCTTTGACTCCTAGCAAGAACCTTCTGTTTGTTGTACACGGCCTCCCTGACTGCAAGCTGCCCTCATATAGCCTCTCCAGCAGACTCTCCCCCCAACACCCCCTCCCTGCTCTTACGAAGCCTTGCTCCAGTTTCACTATATTGCTCAGATGCCCCAAATATCCTGTGTTTCACCTTCCTCAGTGCATTGGCTGCAAGCATGACGTCAGATAACACAAGTGGAAGCACCTGGCACATAACAGCACTTAATAATGCTTATTGATTCTCACCATGAGGTAGTTAAACTAAATCAGTGGTTCTTTAATTTTAGCCCACCTCAAAACCACCTGGAAGGCTTGTTAGAACACAGATTGTTGGGCCATAATCCAGAATTTGATTCATTGGGCCTGGGTGCCGCCTAGGGATCAGCATTTCCAACAAATTCCCAGGTGACACTAATATCAATGAGCGAGAGATCACAATTCTAGACCCAGTGAACTAGATGATCTGTATGGCTTCCCCATATCTAATGATACATAATTCTTCAATGCTTTTAATAGGGAATACAATTTAAAAATGAACTCTTACAGAAATATGAGGTCAAGTAGACATGGTATAGAAAAAAGGATCTGTAATTTAGAATCAGGAGGTTGAAACCCTACTTGGTTATTTGTTTGGATTAACCTAAGTTCACTTAATTAACCTCTGAATCTGCATTTTTTTATCTCCTGCAAAACACAAGTGTTGGTCCGGTGGCATGGGTTAAGGCACAGTGCTGCAAAGCTGGCCACAGCCACCTGAGTGCAAGTTTCATCCCCAGTCGGGGAGGTAACCCACGTGGCACAGGAGACCTCTTCTGTCTCACCTGCTGTTTCCCTTACCAGTGTACTTTGTCAGTCTGCCTGTTCTGCTCCCCACTCTGTCTCTTGTGAATCCTCTCATTGCCCCTGCACCTCTTGCTGTACCCTGGTTCTGTATGCATAAATAAGTCTTTAAAAATATATGGACATAGCTCATAAAAAAGTACAATATACAGACTATGCCAATAGGATATACTCATAATGTGCCAATGTGCATTTAACAACTCGAATGGACAAATACATGTTTCAAACATTTTAATACACTAAATTTTCAAAATTTCCAATCTCAATGCTAATTCATTAATGAAAATTATATGATCTACATGTTTTTATGTCCTCTTAATTCTATGTATATATATTTTATTGGCATCATCAGTAAACACCATTAAGAGTTTCTTTGGTAACCAGGTTCCAAGATGGTCCCCACCGATTCCTTTCCTCTCAGTATTCATACCCTTATGTAGTTTCCTTCTACTGAGTCAGTGACCAATGGAATGCTCTAAGGCTAAGCAGTAAGAGACATTGTCTCTTAGGGTTTTTGGCTTTCTTCACCTAGAAAAAGCCATGAAGACACTTCAGCAACTCTGTGGAGAGAGCCAAATGGTAAGGAACCAAGGCCACTTGCTATTGGCCAATATCAGTCTTGGGATAATCCCCCTTGGAAGGTCACCTCCCAGTCCTACATAAGCCTTCAGCAGCCTCAGGAAAGGCTACAGTCCAGAAACCATTCCTGATGGTTTAATCCTTACAAACTGTGTGATAATGAATTATTATTGTTGTTTCAACCCAAGATATTTGTTACGTGTCTATAGATTATAGATATAGTTGCTAACATTTATTGTACATTTACCATGTTCTGGGAACTATGCTAGGCATCCAACACACCTATGATATAGATGCTATTATAGCTGCCAGAGGAAAGGGTAAAAAAGGTTTAGTAATTTAGTGACGATTCCATGACTCATTAAGTTTCAGAACTAGAATTTGACCCAGGTCTCTACCTCCAAAACCCAGATTCTTGATCACTCATTTGTATAGGCAAAGATAACGCCTCTTGTATAGGCAAGCAGCAGAAGCAACCAAGGCCCCAGAGGAACTCAAACATAAATCCAGCAAGGGACAGCCCAGGGGCCTGACCTGAAACAGCATTGATAGCTGATGCCATAAGACCCACAAGATACAACCCAGCCTGGGCTTCCAGCCTTTTTATCAGCAGACTGTTACCTCACAGGACAGTCCTTCCCAAGATGCCCAGGACTCACCCATATCTGCAGCTTCACTCGCTTTTCATGACGATAAACTGTCTTCACCTTGAAGTCGATGCCCACGGTGCTGACAAAGGCTGGGGTAAAGGTGTCATCCGCATAGCGGAAGAGAAAGGAGGTCTTGCCAACACTGCTATTGCCAATGATGAGCAGTTTGAACATGTAGTCAAAATTCTGGTCAGAGGCATCTTTGACTCCAGCTTTACCATCAGTCACTGAAGCCATCTGCAGAAGAGACACACACTTTCAGTGTCACCCTGAGTCACCAATCTGTTAATGGTCAGTCTGCTGTACACATACCCACCCTCCATCCCAGCATCACTGAGGAAATTCACACAACTCAGAGTTACCCCATCTCTGCACCTAAGCCAAATGTTGTCTCAGAATTGGGGTGGAACTCAGTTCCTCCCATTCACTCCTTAGTAAATATTTACTGAGGACTTTACTTGGGTCAAGCCCTGTGCTGAGAATGAGGAATACAAATAAGAATCAGACATGATGTCCAAAGTCTGAGTGGCCACAGATAAGAGTTTGAAAAAGCACATGAACCCAAAGGAACAAAGCAGCATTTAAATGATAAATCAAAAGGAAACTTTGGCTGAGAAAGCCCCCATGATACAGCTAACTAAATCTGGAGGCAATGGTGGTCTAGGAGAGTGTCCTGTCGGAGGAAGTTCCTGAACTGACTTTTAAGGGGAAAAAAAAGCCAAAGCAGCAAATGCATGAACATTCCCGGAAAGATCCAGTTTAGACTCCTAGCTCCAAAAAAATCAAGCCCAAACTGTTCAGTTTGACTAGGAACCAACTAATCAAAGAATAAATACTCTATATTATCTTCTCTGAAGCCTTTTTCCATTATCCTGAACAAGTGAGAGAGTATATTCTTTGGGGACTATTATAAGACTAAAATGGGAAAACAACTATTAAGACCTAAGTAAAATGGTGTCTCCCACTCATGTGTGAAGACATCATTATTCTGAATCCTTCAATGCCTAGACCTATTATTTGTTTATTCACTTATTCATTCATTTTGCAAGTATTCATTATTCCAGGCTTTCCCTGGAACCCAACCCTTTCAGACCTGCCACCATGCTCTCCTACCCTAGAACACACCACAGTCCAGCAATTGGTCCCATCATCTTATCCATGCCTTTCCCTGACATGGTGCCAGACACAGGTTGCCTTGCTTCTTCACTTGCATTCCCTGTGTTCAGCACTCAGCACTCAGATAGGTGAGAAGTCAGAGGGAAGGAGAACTACCCTAAGTTGAAAATGTAGTTTTCTTTTAGAATGTCTGCTTTTTTTTTCCTCCAAAGGAAACAAAAGGGAGTAAAACAGGTAGATTTAGCATCATGAAATTATCAGGGGAGGGCCCTCCCAGGTAATGCAACAGGTTAAAGCACAGTACTATGAAGCTAGTTGCAGCACCTTCAGCATGTGTTTGATCCCTGGACAGGGAGGTGACCCACATGGCATGGCAGACTTCTCCTGACCCACTCCCACTCCTCCCCTCAACAGTGTATTTCAGTTCATCTGCCTGTTCTGTTCCCCACTCTGTCTCTGGTGAATCATCCCACTACCCCTGCACCTCTGGCCTGTATCCCAGTTCTGTATGCATAAATCTTTTTTTTAAAGATTTTACCATTTTACTTACTTAAAAAAAAAAAGATTTATTTATGCATACAGAACTGGGATAAAGGTCAGATGTGTGGTGGGTGAGAGGACTCACCAGAGACAGAGTGGGGAGCAAAATAGGCAAGTTGACAAAGTATACTGCTGAGGGTAGCAGGGGGCAGGTCAGGAGAGGTCTGCGCACCATGTGGGTCAGCTCCCTGGCGGGGATCGAACTGGTGCTGCAGTGGCTCATAAATAAATCTTTAAAAAAAAAAAAAAAGGGAGACTGAAATTAAGAGGATTTGCACAAGTCTCACAGCTAACAGCTGAGACTAGACCCAGTATAGTATTGTGTTATGGGAAAGTTTACAATCCTTGTTCTACAACTCATCTGAATTCTAGGGCAAACCATATCCCTTCTCTAAGGCATAGCATCTTTCTCTTAAATAGAGAAGATACCACCTACTTCACAGAGCTTTGGTACTAAGAGAATTTTAACAGTTACCATCCATATGTAAGTCAATCTGGCGTGGTTTCTTTAAAAAAAAAAAGATTTATTTATGCATACAGATCTGGGTTATAGGCGCAGTGAGAGGGTACACCAGGGACAGAACAGGGGCCAAACAGACAGAGTGAGGAAGTACACTGCTGAGGGGAGCAGCGGGCGGGTCAGGAGAGGTTTGCCACACCATGTAGATCGCCTCTAGGGTCTGGGTTCGAACTCTCACTGAAGGGCTGCAGCTCATTGCAGTACTTCACTTTAATCCATTGCACCACCAGGGAGGGCCTGGCATGGTTTCTTGGCCCATGGAGGTACTCAATATATATTATTTCACTGGCCCCTTAATTCACTTTTGCAGTCAAATCCTGTTCAGTTGCCCTCCCCTTGATCTGGATTCCATTATTTAAGATCATTTTTCAGTGAACTGTCTGCCTCCCCTTTGGAATTCAGCTGAGTTTTATCCATCCTTACACTCTATCAACACTGGACCTACAGTAAATACTTAGAGCAAATGACTCCTTCCAATAAACATTTATTGAATATTTGCCGTGTGTCAGACAATCAGTGTAAATGTCATATCATTGGTCTTCATGTTTCTGCTGGCTTTATACTTTGGAGTGGCAGCTTTACCGTAACAAAAAAATTGCTCCCCCTCCCCCCATTTCTTAGTAATTCAGTGACATGGGAAGTCATTTAAACTCTGAGCCTCAGTGTCCTCACCTATGATATGGTAATATTACCTATCTCCAAGGCTACTGTGAATTCTAAATAGGAGAATGCACATAAGCATGCTTCATACATACACTGTGTTTAGAAAAATTCATTCTCCTAGAATCAGCAAAAAGAGTGTTTTGTTTTTATTAGCTATGTCTGCTGCAATTGCGAGAGTGGGGAGTGAGACAAAAATGAAAAATAGTTTCAGTGCCTGGTCTGATCTACTCCCCTTCATTTTGCAGTTTAAAAAATATGCAGAGGCTCCACAAAGAGAAATGAATTGTTCAAGGTCACACAGTATATCAACTGAGACAGGACTAGAACATCTGCTAGCTAGTGACTCCCAGATTGAACTAGGGTTAGGAAAAATAAAAAGCACAACAATTTTAGAATGGGTAAGAGAGCATGCTGAGCATCTCTTTCCTAGCTCCTGCCACACAGTGCAGTCAACATCTGTTTAAGTGTAACTGCACAGCTTCCCCAGTCAATGGTGTGAGTAGGGAGAGCTGAGACCACCAAGGTTCAGTTGAAGGCATGCTCATGCGAAAGCCCCCAAGGAGATCTTTTCAGGAGGGGGCAGCAGCTACACAGACATTTGAAGCACTGGCAAGCATCTCAGGGGGTAGCCCCCTGAGGCAGATCTGAGCAGACAGTGGCGTGTACAGACAGGCATTTGCAAGATAAGCGTCAGTCAGCTCTTCCCTCTCTTTTGTGACAGTCACATAAATGATAGAGCCTGGTAGCTCACTGTCTCCGTGACTAGCAATACAGATGAAGGCCCAGGAATCATATGGGAATCTTTTCTGGTCCCAGAATGGGAGAATGAAGGAAACAGCTCCTCTAAGGGTTGGTGTGAAAAACAAATAACCCTTTCAGTCTGATAAATACCTAAGGAAATCCAGGAAAGAAGGAAGAAAGCCCTGAAATCAAGCCAGGGGAGATCAACTCAGTAAATGCAGTAAGGGAAGAAGTAAATGGACGAAACTTCTCTCTTGATGGGAAAAGCACAAGACTGAATCAGAGCGACAGGGGTTAAGCCCTGGTTCTTCCAGCAATTGCATAGCTTAGGCAAATCACACCTTGGGCCTCAGTTTCCTCATCTATGAAATAACTCCTGGAAAACTGTGTTAAGAATTTAAATCAATACATGGGAGAATGTTTTATAACCCATTTAAAATACACTTATCTGTACACTTAATGTTTTCTCCTACCAACTGACCCTGGAAGATAAATAATGTTGGTAAATAATCTAGATAGTATATAACATTTAGCAGGTACTCAATAAATATAACAACATCTTACTGGGAAACATTTACTGGTAAGAATAGGAGGGATTCAAATAATTGTGGAACTCACCCTACGCAGTCGCCTTACTAAAGCCACAATCTACTACTCAACCTTTCTTTAGACAGTTCCCTCTGCCAACCCATCACCACCAGTTCAGCTCAGCTCAGCCCAGCCCAGCCCAACCCAATCCAGCTACGCCCAACTCTTAACTGTTTCCCCCACATCTCCTAGAGACAAAAGAAAATATCATAATAGCTGCCATTTATTGGGCACCTACTAAACGCCAGATGTTCTACTAGATGCTGCCACTGCATACTATCATGCACAAAATGTAGGCACCACCTGCATAATTACATCAGTGGCCTCTGTCTTGTGGGCAGTGCTTTCCAGGTTACAAAGCTCTTTTCGCCCACATTATATTTGCTTCTCACAACAATTATTGGGGCTAGATGAGAAAAGTGAGGCAGAAGCAGCTCCACAGCTCAGTCATTCAGCATTCACCAAGCACCTGTGATGCACTCTGGGGAGATGGAAAGAACCATAAGGTTAGAGAGAAAGCTATTGAAACAAATTCTATAGATTATTGATGCCTCTCTTTAAAAAAAAAAAACAGGAGATTTATATCTTGAACAGAAGATCATTTCAACTTTTCCTTGTATTGCTTCCTCTGATCATAAATATACACACCTTCACTGCTAGCTAAATCCTTCATGAGCAGGAAGTGTTCCCAGACCCACCCTCTGGGAAAACATCTTTTCTCTAGCTAATATAGCACCAACAATCCCACTACAATAAACAGGTCTTCTCATGGACTTCCATTGTCTTCCACCCTTTATAGGCATAAAACAGGTGGGTATCCACCTGTGCATACATCCAATCCACTCTTTTTATGCCCCTCCACCCTTTGCCATCTGGATTCTGAGAATGTGGGAAAGAGAACCCTGTCTCTCACACTCCCCTCCACAACTCTATCAGCTTGCAGACTGCCACCCTGCCTTCCCTAAAATCCCTTCTCATACTTAGATGCCAGAACAGAGATGACCTAAGGATGAATTTTTCTGTCCACCATTCTCTTCCTGTCTGTGATTCCAGGTGGCAGTGTAACAGGGCCCAGTGCCTGTGCCCCCTCCTCCACCTTCTGAGATGTTAAGATACAGCTGGTGCTGAAAGCCCAAGGACTCTACTCTGGGCCCCCATATCTTTCCACTCTTAACCACAGCCCCCACCCAGCCTCTCCCTCAGCCAGATATATCTACCACCCTAAAATCTCTTAAGTTCCCTAACAATTACTTCACCTCTAGCCACTGATGTCTGCTCCTTTCCAGAACCTCTCCATTGCCCCCAACCCCATCTTTAGCCAGAGCACAGACTCCCACTGTCCATAATCCCACAGCCATTGCTTTCTCCCTCTGCCAGACCCCCACCCCTGCCTCTGCAGTCTGGGTAGACACAGTCAGGGTTGCCTCCCACCTTCTCATTCTCCCAAGGTTTCCACTTACAAACCCCACCCATTCCCCCCCACTCAAGGTTAATCCCCTTGCCCATTCCCAGCTCAACACCCTTTTGGCTCCTAGCTCTCCATACACTGGTCTCTTCACCCCTATACCTCATCAGCACCTCCTCCTGCCCAGTGTCCCTTCACCTCATCAACTCACTCAGTTCAAAATGACCCACACCCCCCAACCTAGTGCCTGTTAATAGCCTTTCACTTCCACTCCTCCCCTGGCCCTCGCTCCCGTCAATCCTCTCCCCTTCACAGTCCCTGGGCTGCCGGGGTACACTCTTCCCTCACCACTCCTTCCAGACCTTTACAATTCCCCGGCTCTTAACGACCCCCACTCGGGATTTCCGCACACCCCCTACCCCACCCCAACCCCTGCTGCCACGATCCCTCACTGCCCTCCAGTATAACCACTCCTCTTTTCTCCAGCCCGGGAGCCCTCTTTCTTGTCCCTTGCTCTAGCTACTCCAGCCCTAAGAGCTTCTCCTGAGGCCTTCACAGTCCGAGAAGACGCCCCTCAGCCCCCCTTCCCGGGCTAAGCGCCCCTTCACTGCCTCCTCGGCGGCGGCCTCCCTCTTCTACTCGGCTTTCACTCCGTTGCCTCGTGCTCCTTCTCAGCCCTCGCTCACCGTCCTTGGCGCCCCGCGCCGAGGATCAGTTCCTGTCCTTAGCCCACGGTGGGCAGGGGCCGCGCCCCTTACCTGGGACTCCGGTGCGGGACCAGCGATTTGCTCCTTGTCAAGAACAGCGAGATCGCGGGACCTGGCGGCGCGCGGCAGAAGGCGCAACCAGGTTCTGGGTACTGGGCGGTGCGGTGTGGCGCGGATCAGGACTGATGCCCACAGCAGCGACTTAAGGCTGAGGCTCCAGCTACAGCTCTGCTCCGCTAGACTAAGCCTCGTCCTGGCCACACCCACGTCCCGCCCAGAGGCGGAGTCCATGCTCGTCCCGCCCCCTGCCCCCCCCTCCCGGGTTTTGGGACAGGTGTAGGGAATCTGGGGTATCTTGAGGAACACAAGCTGCCCAATTTCTGGGTGACTACTATGATTCATCTTAATTCTCACACCTCGTTCCATAGGCTGAATTTACTAGGGTTACCAGGGGACTTTGATGATAATGTAAGGTAATGATGAGTGTATTTTGCAACTTCTAAAGTACTTGCCTGTTCACTGTATGGCTTCATCTTTACAAAAGCTCGCAGAGAGGCAGCATCTGAACGACTGACCAGAAGAAACTAAGAAACCTGGGCATTATCCATGCATCTGTTCACACCCTAAATCCTATCAACCTGATAATAACAGCTCTTTAACTGACCTATAGCCTTGCCCTTGCCTCTACATCTCCACAGCTGTGGTCCTCACCTCCGTCAGGCCTCATCACTTCTTTTCTTTTCTTTTTTTAATAAAAGATTTATTTATGCATACAAGAACTAGGGTACAGGCCAGAGGTGCAGGGGCAATGAAAGGATTCACCAAAGACAGAGTGGGGAGCAAAGCAGGTGGATCTACTGAAATACACCGCTGAGGGGAGCAATGGGCAGGACAGGAGAGGGTCTGCCTTGCCATGTGGGTCACCTCAAGCTGCAGCTGCAGTTGTAGTGGCTGCAGAGAGCTTCATAGTGCTGAGTCTTAACCTGTTGGTCCACAAGAAGGGCTCTCCACTCTCCCTTCCCCTCATCACTTCTTACCTGGACTAAATAACAACCTTCTAATGGGCCTCCCTGCCTACACTCTCCTTATCATTTTCTACACCAGCAGCCTGAGTGATTGCTCTAAATGTCATCATATTACCATCAACCTTTTTAATACAAAACCAAAAACCCTTCCATGACCCCACATTACCTGCATTAGTTTGGAGTAAGAAAAGGTTCTTCCTTGGTAATTAGGAACTTAGAGCTCTGCCAGGGGAGGCAGGTACAGGAGGTAATTAATACCCAACCTCCCACCCTCACCTAGACTTCACTTCAAGTCCCCTGAGATCACAGGAGCCAGCTGTCAGCTTTGGTTTAGAATCACTGCCCTTTCCTCAACTCTGCCTCCCCACCCCAAATCTTAGAGATCTCAGTCAGATACCATTTCCCCCACAATTCTGTGATGAGCCTTCATGCAGTTTTTCTCTCCAACCTGGAAAACTACCCAACTCACAGCCCCTCCGGGTGTCCGATTTCTTTCTCTCTCATCCTTTTACTGCTCTAGCTCCTCCTTTTCACTCTCCTTCCCTCTATCAACCTCTCTGGAAACTCTTTCCTCTATGCCTTCTAGAACTCTGTTCCTTTGTTAAATTCTCCTACACCATCTGTTTCTCCAAAGAATAATCAAGTTACTTCTTTGACTTAATTAAAATTTGACCTCCTCCAGGGCTCTTCTTACAGGTTTCTCACTTTCCCATTCCCAACTCATCATCAAGTCAAAAATTCAGGTTAAATTGCCACTTCCACCTTTTACAAAAATTCCGTTTTTTATAAAGCTTTATTTATTTATGCATCCAGAATTGGGGTACAAGTCAGAGGTGCAGGGATATTGAAAGGACTCACCAGAGACAGAGTGTGGAGCAAAACAGGCAAATTGACAAAGTACACAGCTGAGGGGAGCAGCAGGTGAGACAGGAAAGTCTGCTGTGCCAGGTGGGTCACCTCTGGGACAGAGATTGAATTCGCATTGAAGCAGCTGCAGCTTGTTTGCAGTGCTGTGTCCTAATGGGTTGCACCACCAGGGAGGGCTCAAAAATTCCATTTTCTTTGTTCTCCAGTCATACCCCCCTTTATCCCTCAGGACATCATGGGCCTCCAATTGTTCATTTTGCATTGAAAATTCCAGCCCCTGGCTCATGGTTGTCCTCACTAACCCCTGCCCTGACATGTCCCTGATGACTTTGGTATCCATGTGGTTTCCTGGCTGATGGCTCCCCTGATCACACCCTGAACTTTGTAATAATAGAGAACTACTACCTCTGTGATCTCAAAATCAAGTATCATACATTGTCTACTCCTTCACTCCCTTTCTGCCATAAGGCCCTAGTTTCCTCATTTCAAAATGGGTGTGATGATGATTATTCATTCTTCATAGGAATAATGAGATGATATATAAAACCATCTTTTTAAAGCTGTGAAACAATATGGGAACAGATGGCATTGCATTTACATAGCCTCAGGTCTTTTGATTACTTTCTTTTTCTCCTACCCTGTAAGGCCGCTTAGTAGAGTAGAAAGAGTTTGTTCTTTGGGTCTAAAGAGTGTTTGGGGCCAGATCTCATCTTTCAGCCCATGTTCCACCACCTGCTTGTATGTGTCTTATGCAAATTACCTCATTTTTCTGACACACATTTCACCCTCATTTGTGGAAATAGCAGTAGTGAGAGCTACCTATCTCACAGAATCACTAAGGAGATTAGATAAGAAAATGAGGTCAGGACTTCCCTGGTGGCACAGGGGTTAAAGTCTCAGTGCTATCAAGCTATTGCCAGCCACTACAGCATGAGTTCTATTCAAGGAGTGGGAGCTGACCCACATGATGCAGCAGGCCTCTCCTATCTGCCTGCTGCTCCCCTCAGCAGTGTATTTCAGTTAATCTGCCTGCTCCGCTCCCCACGCTGTCTCTGGTGAATCCTCTTACCCTTCCCCCCATGCCTCTGGCCTAGATCCTAGTTCTTGTATACATAAATAAGTAAAAATAAATCTCTAGAAAAAAGTGAGGTCACTATTGGGGAACATGTGATAGACTGCCAGATGTATAGTAAGCACACAGAAAAAATTATACTCTATGATTATTATAATAAGAAAGATGTAGCGTAGACTCTCCTGCACAGAAAGTCCTTTTGTCCTAGTCAAAGTTTTGAAGAGTGTGGGTATGTGTTTGAGAAGGAGAGAAACTAGATTGCTCTGCATTAAAAAAAAAAAGAAGAAGAAGAATTTGGAAATCAGCAGGCAAAATATGAGGAAAGAGGTGATAAAGTTAGCAAGGGAAAAAGAAAACTATGAGTAAGAAAGTCAGTGGAAGTGTAGCTGCTATATGGGTTAAGGGTCAAGAGAAACCATCTCATGGAAAGTGGACAACAGTGTTTAAGCACTGGAATGCCTAAAATAGAATAAGTTGTTTGTTGTGATTTGATGGAACTGCTTTCTTTGACTCTCAAGACTTCAGTAAAGGCCATTACGCTCAGGAATGCTTTTGGAGAGAGCACATGAGTGATTAGGGAAATTGAGCAATGGCCTTTATTAGGTATTTGTTGAAAAAGTAGACTAGTAACTTTAGTCTCTGAGTGCTTGGTAAATATGATAGCACAAGTCCTTACAGAATTTGTAGAAATCTCAGGGAGAGTTACAAACTTACAAAGGTTAGACAGTGTAAAAATCAAGGTTCAAACCCATAGTGCTTTGACCTTAAGGGGCAGAGTAACCATATCTGACATTGGTTGTATCATTTATGCCCATAACAACTACCTCCCTAATGACTTGCAGGTGACTCCCCAAAAAGAACAAAATATGTCATGCTATATTGAACTGTCTTCACTTCCAGATCTGAATGCACAAGTAAGAAAAGAGAGAAAGACAAAAATTCTACTTTTTGTCTTGGATCAAACTGGCCAACAGCTATAAAGATTAATTATTAAAATGTACTATACTTGTTCACATCTTTTACCTCAGTCCTCAATACAAGCATGCAAAGTATGGATTGTTATCTCCTTTTTATAAATGAGGACAGAAGTCAGAAAGATCAAGTGACTTGCCTGTGATCACAATATGGTAAATGGCAGAACTAGATTCCAGATCCAACTTCAAGATTCTTTCTATTAGATTCTTTCTATTAGAACACAGAATTTTGGCTGATCAGTGAATGCTATTGTTTAATTAAAAGTCCTATAAGCAACAGTTCCTTAAATCTTTCTAGTTGTCAGAGTACTCAACCTTCTCTTTTTACATGAAATATGATATGTAATTAATGCTCTTTACTGAATGAGGGTCTGTCTTTTGGAACAGTTAGTAGCATAAGTGTGGAGGTCATTTGGAATGTTCAGATCTTTACCAGGTTCAAATCTACATACTAGAGTGAGTTCCTCATGGCCACCTGGGAGCTTAGGTATGTGGGCAGGTCGGGTGTTTTCATCTGACTCCTTCAATGGATTGCCCCATGCAGTGCAGGAGCTACAGCAGGTGTCAAAAGTCACCAGAAACTGGAGCAATTCTAGTAACACAGAGTTCAATGAAGGGAGCAGAGGAAGATGGGACTGAAAGAGAGATAAGAGCAGATGGTCGTAGGACCTCATAAATCATGTTGGAGATTTGGGCATTAACTGCAAGGAAAGGTTTCAGATAATGGAATAATAAATACAGTTGCATGTGATTGTAAGAAAGCTAGCCCTGACCACGATGGGTATAACACTTTGAATGGGAGAGGGAGGAAGCAAGGAGACAGGAGATAGGGAATGCAGTTAGGTATTGCTGAAATAAGCCAGGTGAGAGAGAAAGACTAGAACTCACATCATAGCAATGGGGAAAGTGAAAAGTAGAGGGACTTGACATGGAAAAATCCCTGGATTTGGGCACAAGTTCAATAGGTTATACAAGGGGAAAAAATGGAATTGCTATAAACAAACTATGGAGCCACTCACTGGTAATAGGAACATAGGGCCCTCCCTGGTGGCGCCTTTGCAGAACCTTTCTACTTGCTGGATAGGATGCTCCCTGATTCATTAATTGTTCAAGAAAGCCAATTAGGTCTCTAAATTTTACTGGATGAATTTTATTTTTGGATAATAACATTTCCCTGAATTTGCATGAGTTTCTCCCTCTACCTGGAATTCTATTCACTTTTTTATTTTAATTCATGATCATGGATCCACCCACCAAATATCTCCTGAGTACCTAATTGTATAAGGATGAATAACAAACAGTCCTTGACCAAAAGGAGCACAGTCTCTGGTACAGGATAGCAGGCTCTAAGATCCACTAAATTGAATTCCATGAGGTGAAGTTCACACTACTATCCCTTATGGTACTTGCTGTGTCATCCTTAGAAGAGGTCAGAGAATACTTGCTGAATAAATAGATATATAAATACTCAAATGGATTTCTTACATCTACCGTCTCACTTAACTTTCACAATAAACCTACAAAGGGGCACTGATTCATACCATCTTAAAAGTAAGGGAGATATAACTAGTCCATGGTTCTGAGCTGCAGTCAAAAAATTGGCAAGTTGGGCCCTCCCTGGTGGCACAAGGGATTAAAGCACAGCACTATGAAGCTCCCTGCAGCCACTAAAGCATGAGTTTGACCCCTGGCCAGGGAGATGACACACATGTCGTGACAGACCTCGCCGGTCTTACCCGCTGCTCCCTTCAGGAGTGTATTTCAGTGGATCTGCCTGTTATGCTCCCCACTGTCTCTGGTGCTTAGAAGCCAAAGGGACCTCAAAGTAGCCCTCTCCCACCAACCCCATGTATGTGCCCCTTTATTGCTTTGATAGGCTCATTCCTGATGATGGGAAGACAACCTCCTCCAGGGAAGACTGCTTTGTCTTTGGGTAACTCTTGTAGTTAGGAAAATCCTTTTCTTTGCTGGAATATTCCTGATTTGTAGCTTTCATCTTCTGTTCTTAGTTCTTTCATGATTATATATCACTCATTTATTCCACAAATATTTGTTGATTGCTAGTGTGTGCCAACATTTAACAGTATCCTAGGCACAGAAAAAACATGAACCTATCAGAATCACTGCTCACACAGAGGTTATGAATCCTAGAACAGGAGACAAACAATATATAAGTCTATAAAATATATAATTTTAGTTAATAGTAAGCATCTTTAAGGAAATATTCCAACAAGATGATGGGACAGAAAGTGAATGGACATAGGTGTGATGTTAGAATGACTAAACAGGGAAAGACTCAGAAGAAATGACATTTGGGGAATGACCTTTGATAAAGAAGGAAACAGCCCATTTTAGAGGTGAGACTCTTAAGGGTTGACGGGCAGGCAATTCTCCCAAGGTAAGACCAATCTTTTTTATTTTTTATTTTATTTGATTTTTTTAATAGTTTATTTTTACATCATTTTTTGCATTTTTTTCATCTCAGTTGTAATCCCTGTGGGATTCCCAACACCAAATCACCCTATGCCATCACCATAGTCCAGTGCATTACCCCTCCCCCCACTGTTCTTTTTTATTAAGATTTATTTATTTATACATACAGGAACTGGGTACAGTTGCATACAGGTGGGGGAAGGGGTGGTGAGAGGATTCACCAGAGATAGAGTGGGCAGAACAGGCACACTGACTGAAATACACTGCCGAGGGGAGCAGCGGGCATTCAGGAGAGGTCTGCCATACCATGTGGGTCACCTCCCTGGCTGGGGATTGAACTGGTGCTGCAGTGGCTGCAATAGCTTCATAGAGCTGTGCTTTAACTCACTGCGCCACCAGGGAGGGCCCATGAGACCAGTCTTAAGTGACCAATTCCAAAGCCTCCCACTCTTGCAAGGTGCTTACAGCTTTGACATGAATACAGTTGCAGTCTGTGGTCAGGGTGTTCACATCCAAGAACTCACTATGGCACAAAGCCTCCCTTCAGTCTCATCAGTTATTACTCACCTCTGACCAGGCCCCTTTCTGGTCCATCTCTGTTAAATAAGTGAATTTAGTAAAAATAAACTTACAGGCGTTATAAAAGTAAGCCAGTGTGGAATAATCAAAAGGGCAAATGCTTTGTTCAAATCTAACTTACAGCATTCACTAGGTATATTTTTATGGATCACACAGGTTGTTCTGTAAAATAGAGAATTATTTCACTGACTCTTTAAGAAAGTTAATTAAAAGTGATAATGTATATAAAGTAGGTTATTTAAAAACATCATCTACTTTAGGGATGTGACAGCTCTTATACTAAATACGTTATGCTTGCCAGTGACTTCCCCCTGCAAATACGTGTCCAGGAAGCTGAGAAATAGTTACCACTCACAATACACAAGCTAAGGCAGGTTGCCTTTCTAATTTTGGAAGTACATCTTCTTAGTTGTCTTTCTGCAAGGACTTAAGAGAAGATGACTAGTAAATCAGACAGAAAGGAACAATAAAGTTTAAAAAGTGGATTCTTTCAGGCAGGTTACCTTCCTTTAGGGGAAGGCAGGGAGTGCTTATCAGTTAGGTTACCTCACTAGTGCTGATCAGAAAATTCCAGGCTGATTTAATTTAACTGAAATTGCAGTTACGCTCCACGGGATCTAACCTTTTGCAAAGGTTGTCTCAAACTCCCTCTTGTGCTCTAAAGGGGAACTACAACCTCTTAGGACAGATAAGTGCTGAAATCAATCTGCATTAAGCACTGAAAATATGGAAGCTAACCTTTGTTAAGTATATACTATACTATATTCCAAGAGCTTCTGAAGTGCCTTCTACACAGCTTGTAACAACTGTACAGTTTACATCATTATTTCGGTTATCCTTCCTGTGCTTCACTCTCTCCAGTACTCTCTCCTGTTTCCTAGAATCTTTCTGAAATATGTTATCTAAAGGCTTAGGTCAGGCCCTGATCTTTGTGTATTAAACAAACAAACAAAAAACCCAACAAACATAAAATTCATCCAAGTAAATTTAAAGTTTTTTGTCTTTATTAAACAGTTCATGAATTGAGCAGCATCCTATTTACAAAAAGGAGGGTGCTTTAAGGAGTTGTACAAAATGAAAGGTTTTTATAGACAGAAAGGAACAATAAAGTTTAAAAAGTGGATTCTTTCAGGCAGGTTACCTTCCTTTAGGGGAAGGCAGGGAGTGCTTATCAGTTAGGTTACCTCACTAGTGCTGATCAGAAAATTCCAGGCTGATTTAACTGAAATTGCTGTTAAGCTCCATGGGATCTAACATAAGTGTTTTATTTGGGGCCTGTTGTTTCTTTTTAAGCTAAAAACCCAAGGTTGTGCCCTCCCTGATGGTGCAAGGGGGTAAAAGCACAGCATTTGAGGCCATCCACAGTCTCTACAGCGTGAGTTTGTTCCATTCCCTGCCAGGTAAGTAACCCACATGGCACAGACCTCTCCAGTCCCACATGCTCCTCCCCTCAGCAGTATATTTCAGTCAATCTGCGTGGTCTGTTCCCCACTGTCTCTGGTGAATCCTCTTACCCCCCTGCACCTCTGGCCTGTACCCCAGTTCTGTATGCATAAATAAATAAAAAAAAATTTTTTTTTTAAAGATTTGTTTGTGCATACAGAACTGGGGTACAGGCCAGAGGCTCAGGGGCGGTGAGAGGCTTCACCAGAGGCAGAGTGCGGAGCAGAACAGGCAGATCTACGAAGTACACTGCTGAGGGAAGCAGCGGGTGGGTCAGGAGAGGTCTGGCTCACCATGTGGTCCTCCTCCGGGGCAGGAGGCAGGCGGGAATCGAACTCATGTGGAAGTGGCTTCAGATTCTCAGTGCTGTGCTTTAACCCGCTCCGCCACCAGGGAGGGCCAAATAAATATTTTTTAAATGAGCTCTGGATACTCATTTCAATATGGGAGGTAGGTAAGCAGGAGTCCTAGATTGGGGTCCTAAATTACTTCCTCAAGGTTAGTTTTCCACGTGATCTCCACTCTTCCCTTCATTCTCTAAAACCAAAAGACCATCACAATACATGTCCTTTTAAAATTTTATTAAAGTTTAATGGAACAATACTTTTTTTTTTGTTAACCCCAATACAAAAATACAGTTGACTGCTTGACAAAAATGGCTCTTTCAAGGGCTTGAAGGTTGAATTTCTCTAACAATTAACAGGGGGAACATGCTTCTAGCGAGGACTGAGTCCAAGCACACAGCCATTCTTGCAGATGCATGCGTGCAAACAGGAAGCCCAAGCAGAAGAGAAAGGAAGTTGCAAGGATTCAGGAAGAAGTCCAAGATTATTTCCAGGAGAAAAAGTGAAGAAACAGGCTGGTTTCCTTGGTGGGGTTAGGATTACTGATTTACATTTAGGGTATGTTGTTTTTAAATAATAAGCTATTTCTGCAAATTTAGCAACGTAGAAAAGATGCTACTGATTCCTTTTACCACCAAAGTGAATATAGCAAGAATAAATGGAAAATGATTCAAATACTTAAATGTGAGGAGTAAATCTCCAAATGGCTCAAGTTTTGTGTCAAAAGATATCTTTCTTTACATTCAAAGACAAGTATACTTAGATCAGGAGCCAGCAGGAAATCTGCAATACTCTGCTGGATCCAAAAACATGGAGGTCAGCTTCTGATCGCAGAACTCTTCCACAGTGAAAGAGCTCCTTCCCAAGGAGACAGGAGCAAGCTTTTCTGGTTGATGTTATTGTTCTGAACAATTTTTCCATATCCCCTCTCCTGTGGCTTTCCTTCCAGAATGCTAATTTTGATGAAAGAAGCAACACATTCAGGTTACAACTCATCTTGAAGATGTTTCTCTCTGAAGGCATCTCCTGTCAGCTTTTCTTGAGCTTCTTTCATCCCTTGAACAACTGAAATAAAGATTGGGAAGAAGTATAAAGGAAACCTTTAATATTTGACAACCAAAATAGATTATTACATTTTGGTAGCTATATGAGCACAGAATCTGGACCCAAATTCTAATTTCTAGATTTTAGCCCTGGAAATTTTACCTCTTTGAATTTGTTTCTTCATCAATGAGACAGTATTACTTACTTCACAGATTATAAAAATTAAATGAGAATGGATCAATAAAGTACTTTATAAGCTATGAAGGACTATAAATATATTAGCAGTTATTTGGGTTACCTTTTAGGATGAGAGATGAACCCCAGTGAGAATGTACGTTTCCCCAACATTAAGGTAAAAGAAAATACCTTTGTACTGTCCCATTATATTTTTCAGATGAAAATTGCATTCATTTAATTTCCTATGAGGTAATGTGTGTGTGCATGAGCTGGTATGGGGTAGTCTTTATTGAAAGAGGTAGTAATTTCTAGCATCAACTATACACAGAAGCAGCCAAGTTTGCAGGCAAGAAAAAAAAAAGAGAGAGAGAAAAGCAAATTTATAGTCTCTCTCTTTCTCTCTTTTTTTTTTTTTTGTTGACTCCCAGGTATTTGATTCTTTTTGTTTTAATTGAAAAGGGGATGGTTTTTTTTTTTATTTTTTATGATGTTTTTTATTAAAAAGTTTTTGATTCTTTTTGTTTTAATTGAAAAGGGGATGGTTTTTTTTTTTATTTTTTATGTTTTTTTTATTAAAAAGTTTATTTTTACATCATTTTGCACATTTCTTTTTCATCTCAATTGTAATCCCCACGGGTTTCCCATCACCAAATCAC